AATCCTACAAAAATAAGTCCATGGTGTTTAGTGGGCATGAGTATATATTGGTCATATTTTCATGGATAACTGTTGGGCAATTTCCTTCAACGCAGATATTATAACATTCAAACTTCACCATGATTTTAGATAAACCATGAATTTACCCCATAAAATATAGTAATTGGATATATGGTATATAATTAAGTTACCAATAGCTGTCATGAAACTAAAGACTGCCTGTATGCTATAATTATCCTGTAATTTACAGTTTATAAAAATCATCTGTAATAGAAAGGACTTGATGAATGTATATGTTTGCTAAAAGAAAACCTTGGCCTTTTTTGAATAAAATTGACAACTGGAAAATGATAAGCTAATGAAGCATCAGCAAACCTTTTGCCATTGGTTTTGCGCTTTTACTATTTCAAGCAGAATAATCAAAGATTTGTAGAATATTCTTTTACTAGCTCTAAAGAGCAATTTGCAAGATGAGCCTAGGTAATTTCTATCCATCAACTGCCAGGATCAATGCATGTGGAAAAAGATACATTTCCAAAACATGGAGACTAAGTATTATAGTATGGTATAGTATAGTATAGTATAGTATAGTATAGTATAGTATAGTATAGTATAGTATAGTATAGTATAGTATAGCATGGTATAGTCAACAGTAAATAAACATATATTAAGCATTACTATGATCCAGACACTATGTAAAGAGCTGGGGAATATAAAGAAAGACAAAAACATGGCCCTTGACCTCAAGGAACTTATATTTTAGCAAGGTAGACAATGTGCAAAGAACTTTGTGTGTACAAGATACATATAGGGTAAATGGGAGGTTTATCTCCAAGGGAAAGGCCCTGGCAATGGAGTGCACCAGAGAAAGCCTCTTGCAGAAGGTGGGATTTGAGCTTGGTCTTGGAAGAAGCCAGGGCCCACTATAGGCTTTAGTTGTGTTATCTATAGAATAAAGAGATTAGACTAAATGACTTTTAAGATTCTTTTAAAACTCTAGATTTAAAATCCCATGATCCTATTCACTCCTTGCGGGTCTGAAGCATAGAATGCTAGTTTTATGTACTATTCCACAGGGTCACACATTTAGAGCTGGAAGGAAGATTGTCTAATCTAACCTCTTTGTTTTAGAGTTGAAGTAAACAAGACCCTGAAAGGTAACATCACTTGCATAAGGTCACACAGGTAGTAGGTAGATTCAAGAAGTGAGATTCAAACCCAGTTTCCATTACTCCAAATGCACTAATCAGTTCATGCATCCATCGTAAGCCTTCCCTCTGTCCCCAAACATCAGAATCCAAATAAATAGTAGCCATCTGAACTCAGCCAGAAATTATTAAAAATATGGCAATAGAAAGTAATATCTGAATATAGTAGGTACATAGTTACTATTTGATGAAAGAAAACTGAATGAGTGAATGATCTGAAGAGTATAATGAAGTATTTTAAATATCTAACAACTTAAGAAAAAGCTAGTTATAAACAAACACCTTCCATAAAATCCTCTAATATCTTATTTTAGCATGGAAGTGATTCTGGATTCTCTAAGGTTATGTCAGCGGTTTACAAATTCTGGCAAAGCCTAACAAGTTGAATATGGTCATGGGAACACAGATTGCGAGCTGGAAAATAATATAAAATCATCAAGTCCAAACCTCTCATTTTACAGACTGTAAAATTAGGACCCATGGTGATGTGGCTTGCTCAGTTAGTAGTATCTGAGAGAAGATCTGACCTCAGTTCTTCTTGACTTTGAGTCCAACATGTTATTCTATTGATAAGATTATATCAATTTGCTAAGATCTAGCCTAATTAAATATAAAAGGCTCTCCCCACAGCACATTTTCCATTGGGTGATAGATCTTATGCCCATATTGATCTCCCATAGACAGGTTTTTAACATGGTCCTCAGTTTTGTGTGCCCTTTTCCACTCTGCCATTGACATTGGTGGATTAACAAAAGAAGGCAGATCTGACAATTAAAAAATTCTGAGATACATAGTTTCTGGGAAATGTAATCATTTTATTAATAAGGCCAGCATGTTTATTAATAAAAATAATGGCCATTTAGCCATCTCTTTTAGATCAAAGACCCCTCATGGCTGTGGGCTCACAGTTCATATCCCCATCAAAGAGTAGGTGTTCCTGAGGGATACCAATCAACTCTGATTGGTTAACACAATGGAAGGTGGTCTATATTAAAATGAGGGTCTTGGGGTACATGACTTGGTTCACCCAAATCTTGGTCAAAGAGACATCAATTTCCCTATCACCTGTTTTGACAAAAGAGAGAATCAACACTTCCCCAGATTTGTCTGAACAATCATAATTAGAAGGAATACACCCATTAGCCCAAACTTAGAATTTCTTTCACTGTCTGATTAGATCTTGGCCTTGGTAAATCTTTGAGAGATTTCTTACACTGGTTGGTTTCTGGATGAGGAAGTGGAAAAGGGGAAAAACCTTGGTCCTGATTCAATAGAAATATTCATTTTTCACACAGAGGGAGTTAGAAATTTTGAGACCATTTATAAACCTTAATTTTGCTAATGATACCCTAAATGTGAGATTGTCATCTGAGGTCTAATGACATAATATATTACTGATGGAATTAAACAATATTGATAATTGATATCCTTGCTATGAAATGAAAACAGAGATTTAAGGAAGTTACAACTAAATAGGATTGCTCATAAATTCCCTTTTGAGAAGTGAATGAAAGAATTGGTAAAGTTGATTTTGTCAAGTGCCCAAGGACAACAAAAACATTTAGTCATCTTTGGTTTTTTAACCTTATAATGCACATGTCATGAAAATAGTTGAAGTTTGTGTGCAAACATCTATTGCATAGCATGAAGAAATAGAGGAACTCTACAAAGTTCTCCAAACCAACTCAACATACATTTTGATTCTTGATGACCATACACAAAGAGACATAATGATAAAGAACAATGGTGATTACAAATACCAGAGAGACACGGCAAGAAAGAAAGAGTGGTGGTGATTATAAGTGCCAGAAAGAGATGACAACAAAGTGGTGACTACAAATGTCAGATCATTTGTAAAAAACATTAAAGGGGAAGATGAAAAATTTCAATGTCTTATCTGACAGAAGAGCAAAAATCAATTAAGGGAAAATGAGACCATAGAAATCAGCATGAGACACAACTAAGTCAGATCATCTCCTGGGTACTTATATATGAAACCAAAAGGGCAACATATAGAAGAGAGATGACTAGATATTCCATTTCCTTTCTATATCCTCGTCAGTGATGACAGTGGACCCAATACATTGGGTCTCTATTAGCTCACACCTCAGGGTTACATAAGGAAGTAGAAATGATATTAACAAAATGATAACAGGCTGGGCCAATCAGATACATCTTGAAGAAATCCATGCTGGAGGTGAGAAAATTTTAAAGATATGAAAGCTGAATTTTCAATATATCTCAAAGAGAGATTTTAAAAGTCATTAGTAAAAATGAGGGATAATGTAGCCAGACCTAGTTGCAATGGTGTCCATGAAATATTTAAAGAGGAAGGTCTCTAGTACTTGGTCCATATTAGTAAGACTATTTATATGAATGAGATCATGGATCCATTAAAATATTGATGTATAAATGAAACCATTTTTATTGCATTATTATTGTCAACAATTAACATTTTTAGAGGTCAGTGATGGAGTTTTGACTCTGATGGAGCCTTTCTCTGATAATGTTAGCTGAAGGCTATTGCCATCTTCTAGTGTAAATATTTACTCAGATTTTGTAAAAGTAGATTGTCCATTATGTAATCATGTAAAAAGTTGCATATGAAAAAGAAAAGACTTAAATCATCACAGTTGCCCTATTTTCATGAAAAATGTTTTTTACTCTTTCTCCAATCTGTGATTTTCCTGTGAAGAAACATGGAGCAATTTTCTAGGTAACAAAATATGTGACATTCACTTCTGAAAACTATTCTATCTCAAGTGGAATACAGTAGTTTTAGAACAAAAATTATTTTCCATATCTGACTTCATTCCTTCTGAAATACTGCAATGAAATTTTCTCCTTGCTTGTATTTTCCCCTTGAAATCAATATCTGTTGAAATTTTGAAGTTGAGTTTTATTGTATCATATAATACTTTAGAATGCAAATGCACACTTATCAAAAGATTTTTTTCTTCTTGAAATAACAAAGGCCAATTTAACATTTACATGATCCTTAGGACAAGGTAACCTGATGTCCTATTTAAACTCAAAACAAAACAAGACAATTTGGGACTTGTTAAGTGAGTTCTTTTCTCTAATTATTTATTATGATATCAGATATTTTCTTAGAACTTCAACTTGGTTTTCATTAGGCCAGTATTGAAAGGCCTCCATGATTTGGTTTCAACCTACCTTTCCCAACTTATCTCCCCCATATTGTTCTTCACTAGATTCAAGCACTCCTCAGACATATTGAGCTTTAACACCTTATTGTTTTGCTCCAACCACTCCTTCCTTCCCCACCCCACACACCCGAACCCTAATCTCATGTTTCAGTTCCTCACATTATAGTTGTGTATGGATGTGTTGTGTATAAGCCTCTTTACAATGTTCCCCCCCCCCATTTCATATCCCTAACATTGTCATGTACATAGTGAGCCTTTAGTAATAAATTTGTGTTAAATCACTATCATCTCAGGAAGATTTCTCTAAATCTTTCCTTTTCTGTGTAAGGTTGACCATCAGATATTAGATATTTTTTTTTTACCTTATGTACATGTATCCATGCTTCTTCCTGCAAAAGGAAGGCCTTTTGATAGAATAAGTATGTTCCACAGTCATTTCTTTAGGTCCAGGACCTTGTTTAATCTTAAACTGGATTAAATTCTACTCAAAGATTGTTTTGGTAAACCATTGGTAAAATGAGCAGACTTTCCAGATAAACAAACAAACAAAAAAAAACAACTTTTCCCCAAATAACAATCGTGATATAGAATGTAAATGATGAATCACTTGGACAGATGTTACCTTTTCTAAGGGACTTTCTACTCGAGGAATGCTGATCATTGGCATCTGTGCCAGATTGTCCATGTGTATGTGCTCATTTTCTGGTTGTCTTCCTTTGAAATTGTTTACCACACATACGACCTAGAAGTTACAGAAAATAATTACCATTAAATCACATCCAAAGTGATCATTTCCTGTGATATCTCTATGGCTAATGGATTGGCAATTCTAATTAAGATAACAGCATATTCAACTGCTTTCAAAAGATTTCATAGTAGTCAGTTAAAAAGTCACATTTATCCTCTCCGAATACATCTGGTAGACTTTAATAATAAATAAAATTTTACACAAGTATTACATAACTCAGGAATTGTCACTTGCTCTACCATTCAGTTAATAATGACTTTGATTCTCAAAATTTTCTAACTAAATGTGAATGGTTACAATGTTGTTGGTACCTGAATCAATTCAAGAATATCACAGCCCTATGCAAATTAACAGCCCACTGACATTTCCTAATGTAGCTCACAATTTAAATGGGATTCATTTCACATCTCTCTAAGAGTATCACATTCACTATAAACCATTTTACAACTGGCACCCTCCACAAACTGAGTAGTTTCCCATTTAGTAATAATTTTTATTATCTGTTTATAAATTTTTTTTACACATCTGGCATTTTCACAACAGCTCACCTGAGTTACTGCTGAAACTAGAGATGCTATAAAGGAAATCAATCTTGGTACCAATTGCTTATGTCGTCTTGGTTTCAAATTCATTTAAGAATATTTGTTGTGGTAGCAGAATTTAATTTCAATGACATGACCAATATACTCATTAATGCTGCCTTGTGCCAATTAATGTATAATATACTGTCTATTTTTCTCTGTATTTATCTATTATTTTAAAATGATTATTTCATTATGTTCTGTAGTGAAACAGGAAAAAAGTTCAACTTATGTACAATTAGAATATAGCAATCCTTTTTCATAAATGTTTAATGTATAATTACAAATTTAAATCACAAAATTTCCAAAGTCTCTACTGGGAAGTCTTTTATTTAAGAAGGCTTACCACCAAATTTTCTCTAGAGACCAATTAGATTTTTGGTTTCTCTCCAGTTGTATAAACAAAATTACTCTGCATGATAATAAAACCATACCATAGAGTGCTAATAGCTGAGAAAAATATCTTTGCATGTTGTTATTCATTTATTGCCACAGACATTTCCAGTGAGGATGTTCAATCTATTCCAATGCCATATATATATCACTAAAGTTACTGTATATATACATACATATACAAATATGTGTATATATGCATATCTCCTATAAAATCCTATGACTGGAAAGGTCTTTGAGCAGTAAGTTATTCAAGCCATTTTTATACTTTAAAGCAAGACTATACCAAAATCACCCTAGATAGCTAAGAATCTGTCCCATTTTAAAAAGAATTATTAGGGAAAGATATTTCTGATCATAATCTGGCTCCCATCTGCCTATCCACTTATTTCACATTATTTACCTTCACATACTGTGTGCTCCAGCCAAATAGGCAGAACTGTTTCTCCTCCTAACTAAATGTGTTCCCATCTCCCATCTTTGCACCTTTGCACTAGCTGTGACCCATAGCTTGGTTGTATTCCCTCCTCACTGATAGCACTCACAATTCCAAAATTCATTCAAGATTCAATTCCAATGCCAGCACTCTTGCAATGCCTTTCCTAACTCCATTCACCAACCCAGTTGGTTATATTCTCTTCCTCCCGAAATCACAATATATTTACTTATCTGTGTTTAGATTTATTGCCTACAGAGAATATAAGATCCTTAAGAGTAGGATTTATGGAAAATACAAACTCTTTGAAGGCAGGGAATGTTTGCTTTTTTGAGGGGAGGAGATCTTTGTATCCACATAACTTTGTACTGTTTGGCCCATAATAGAGGTTTAATAAATGTCAACTGAATCTAATTCAAATGTTCATTAAAACAGAAAGCTAGGTGATATAATGGAGAAAAAAACTGTGGGCCTAAAGTAAGGAAGACCTGAGTAAAATGCAGCTTCAGACACTTACTAGCTGTGTGTCCCTGGGCAAGTCATTTAACCTCTGTTTGCCTCAGTTTCCTAAAGTGTAAAATAGGTATAATAATAGCACCTACCTCCCAGGATTGTGGTGAGGATCAAATGAGATAATATTTGTAAAGCCTCTAGCACAGTGCCAGGCACATAGTAGGCATTTAATAAATGCCTGTTTCTTTCCTAATTCCACTGAAAAGTTAAAGTGGTATAGCAGAAAACATCATTAGATTAGGAGTCAGAAGAAGAGTCTGAAGATACTGCTTTGGCACCTAGTTTCCTCATCTGTAACCTGGGAGGATTGGACTACATTATTCCTAAACCCTTTTCTATGTCTTCAACAACTGTGATCCTATGACTATCAGCTTCTTGAGGATAACTAATATATCTATTCATTAACAAATCTTTTGCACGTAATACATAATATCAGATATGGGCACAGTACCTTGCATATAAAAGGCGGTCAAATATTTGTTTAATTGAATCATGAAACTTCCCTCTAGGTCAAAAGATTCTGGAGATTTCAAAATACTATTTACCCACATGGAGTTATTTTCCCCCTGATATTTCTGTTTAGCTGCTGCCACAAAGCAAATTTCCTTTTTTCCTGAAATCTTGTCTGATCCCCCAGGTTCATCTCTCCCTGTCCGAAACCAAATAGCATTTAATTTCACAGGCATCTGCTGTACTTACCATGTGAGATTAGCCATTACAGCTATCTGCGCTTGTGTTTTATTGTACCATAAGGGAATGGACTCTAATCTTTGTACCTCCCCTAGCGCCTCATGCTCTGTGGCCAAAAGCACATATTTACAAGATGCAACTGTTAGAGTCACTGAAGGAGAGCACAGAGAAGGCCGGGTCAGGTGCCAGAGCACACAGGTTCAAATCCTGGTTATTCACTTTATTGTGCTAGAAATTTGGGGTGGGATGGGGCATAGAAAAGTCAAAGACATGGGGCCTTCTCTAAAAGAAATTGCAATTGACTACAGCTAGAAAGAGAGACTACATAACTATGTGGGAAATTGTACAGGTCAGAATCAATAGAAAAAGAAATAAATGACGGCTGGAATGGTCAGGAGAAGAACTTCATGAAAAAAAAAAGGAGCATAGATTTAGAGCTGGAAGAACACTCAAAGAACATCTAATTCAATCCCCTTTTTTCCTACTTGAATAAACTACGGCCAAGAGAGATTACATGATTAGCCCAAGGTTATATAGATAGCACATAGTTCAGTCAGGATTTGAAACTAGGCCCTCTGACTCCCAAACCCAGTAGTCTTTTTTTCCATTCTGCCTCCAAAAGACCTAAGCAGGGCCTTATCTAGCTAGGCTAGGAAAAAAATGCTTCTGGAGAGGGAAAAATGTGAACACATGAATAAAGAGGAAAATGAATGTGGTTTGTTTGAGGGGAATACAATGATGATTGGAGTGGAGAGTCCGAATTAATGAATGATAGGAAATGAGTTTGAAAAAGTAGCGTGGGGTCGTATTAGAGCCAACTTTGAAGGCTAGTACATACTTCATTTCCTGTTGAATTTAACTGAATTGACACTGTAAAATCAGGGAACCGCTGAGGCTTTTTGAGAGGGTGAAGAGGGCCACCTGCTGAAAAGGCTCGAAGTCAGTGAGTTTGGTTGGGAGGTTTTGAAAATCATGGGCAAGCATAGACTAAGATGAGTATAATGGCACATCCCTGGGAAGCAGGAAGCATGCTTATTGGCCCAAAAAAAGAACCAATGACAATGTTTCCCCAGGTGTGCCACTATACACACAGCTCTCAATGTGCATGCCTATGATAGTAATTATATGAATCTTAAGATCATTGCCTTGGAGATAAGAGGGTCTTTATAGGCCATTTAGTCTAACTTCATTTTACTTGTGAAAAAAGATTGTGGCCCACAGAATTAAAGTGATTTGCTCCCACCTCCTCTGAATTCAAATCCAGTATACTTTCTACTGTATTGTACAGTCTTAGATTGGAGATGAGGGAACAGAGATGAAATCATAGATATAAGAAGCATTTCATATGGAAAATACAGACATTGGTGGCTGACTCATCATGGAGCATCAACAAATAGGATGAGCTAAAGACGACTCAGTATTGTTGAACCTGGGTAATTTGGAGAGGGTCAATGCCACTGACAGAGACAGGGAGGTTGGGTTAAAATTAAAACAAATTTTGTTTGGGAAGTGTTTGAGAATTCCAGATACCTTTTGAGAATACTGTAAACAGCTCAGATTAGGAAAACAGGATTCAAAATCATTGCTTTAGGGATAAACATTTAGTGGTAATCAATGGAAGCAGATGGGGTCCACTTTGAGAAACACTTAAAATACAAAAATTCATAGTTACCAAAAAAAAATTATCTGGAAAAGAACATTTATGATACAGAAGCATTCCCTCCAGGCCTTTTAAAAAATATTAATCACCACAGTGGATTTTAAATATTTGTTTACAAGAGGCCTCCAAAGTACTGCTTGTGCCATATGGATGCTCCAGGAGACAAACTAGTCTGAAGAATCCAGCTTTCCTTTCTTTGAAATTGTTTTTGAAAATCATTTTGTAAGATAATATATATTAGATCTAGACTGGACACTGGAAGCTATTCGATCCAACCACTTCATTTGTACATGAAGAAACTGAGGCCAGAGGGGTTAGGCGTCATATATCAAGAAAGTGGCAATCTAGCTAGACCAGTCGTCTAGGGCACATAGTGGATAGAGTCTTGAACCTGGAGTTAGGAAGAACTGAATTAAAAATATCTAACCTTAGGCATTGTTAGCTGTCATTTCACCGCTGTCTGCCTCAGTTTCCTCATATGTAAAATGGGGATACTAACAGTACCAATTTCACAGGGTTGCTGTGAGGAGAAAATGTGATAGCTTTGGTACAGTACTTTGCAAAATTAAAGAGCTATATAAATGCTAGGTATTATTATTATTATTATTACTATTATTAATAGAAGTACCAGATTTTCTTACTCGATACAGGGTTTTTTTTTTTCTATTTAACCATTATGCATGCCATCTTCAGATTACTCCCCTTCATGCAAACTTTTTTTCCAATGAAAGTGGCTTACTAGCCATTGCTAGTATATAACATTTCATTCCCTTCTCTACCAGTGCCTTTCACTGATGGTCCCCTTAATCTGGAATGCCCTCCCTTCCTAATTTCCTCCTTGTATTTGCCCTATTCACCCCCATAAATGAATTTCCTCCGAAAATTATTCTATCTTCTACCACAAAATGAATTGCTTTTTCCATGAAACCTTCCTTAATTTTTCAGGTTCATTATGACCCTTTTAATAATAAATCAAATAGCATTTTATATATCAATCCTATCTCCATAGCACTTATCATTCAAGGCAGGTCACACACTTTTTCTTACACGAGACTTTCCAAATCGCTCTCACAATTAGCACTTTACCCCCCTCGTCAATTTACTTTCTATTACATTGTATAGGTTTTGCATTTACTTATCTGTAGACAGATTGTATTTCCCCAGTAGAACCTGATAAGTTTCTTGAGATAGGGGACTCATTAATAATCACGTTATGATCATTAATGTAGGACTTATATAGTGTATTAAGGTTTGCAAAGCGCTTTAAATAAGTAATCTCATTTGAATCTTACAACAGCACTTTAAGGTAGGTAATATTGTTCTCCCTGTTTTACATATAGGAAACTGAGGCAGAAAGAGGTTAAGCGATTTGCCTAGGGCCACACAGTTATTAAGAGTAAAGCAGAACATGAACTCAGGACTTCCTGACTCCAAGTCCAGAGCTCTAGTCACTGTGTCCAATAGCTGCCTCTTAATAATTCATTTTTATTTTTGTATCCTTGCCTCAGGGCCTAAGGCAGACTCTTACATGTAGTCAGCCCTTCACGGATGTTTGTTGTTTTGAAATGAATTGACTCATGTCACAGAGCTGGGAGCTGAAAATAAGATAAAACTGAATTTTAAAAATAACAATAATAGCAATTCACATTTATATAATGGCATGTACTTTGCAAAGTACTTTCCTCACACTATCCCCATGAGTTGGATTATAGAAGTATTATTATCCTCATTTTGCCTCTGAAGAAACAAGCTCAAAGAGGTTAATCAACATGGCCGTGGTTACATAGCTAATAATGTGGAAGGGCTGGTACTTGAATAGAGGCCATGTGTCTCTTGGTCCAGTATTTTGTCTATTACAACCAGGCAGCCTTACACCTGTAGGAAAATAATGTTGGTTTAGATTTCATGAATTTCTAAGTCTGTCCCATTTTTAAGGATTACACAAGGCTGAGTTAATTTTATATAGAAATTGGGTTCAGGGAAACATATTCAAAATCACGTGATTTAAAAATGCAGTTTAATCTTTATCAGAAAGAATGAGGGAAAAACTATACACAGGCCCCATAATATTTTAATTTCTACATACAAAAGTGAGAATTAGTATGGGTATTTCCACACTCATTTTCTCAAACTGGATGATGCAAGTTCACTCGCATCAATGCAAATGTGTCAAAATTAGTCTCAAATACTCACCAAAAATACTGCTATAGATATTCCAACAAGAAAACCCGCTATCACATCTGACCAATGATTTCTATATTCTGCTACTCTGTTGAGTCCAGTAAGAAAGGCCAAACACATTAAGCCCAAGCAGAGAACTGGCTTAGCAAGTCGTGTTCCTTTGGCTTTTATAGTGTTGGTAATGTACATCTGAAAAGACAAATGAGAAAGGACAAGATACTAAGCAGTCTATTCACCAGTTTAAGATAATTCTGTCAAACTATCAATTCAAAGTAGACGGGAGTTCAGAGGTCACATAGTCATTTCATAGATGAGAGAACAGAGATCTAGACAAGTTGTTACTTTCCCAAGGTCAAGAAAGAAGTTGGAGAGCCAGGATCTAAACCCGTCTTTGGACTCTGTATCCAGTCATCTATGTAGTATACTACATTACTTCTTATGTATGTTCTATGAAAAAAATATATGTGCATAAGACATCGATATGTTCATAAAGTCTGATTAATATTAGAAAATTAAGCTTATTGATATTTTGAATGAAATTAACCATAATAACATAGATGAAATGATAGCAATAATTACCCAGTGACATTCTTTTTAAAAAATATTCATTAATAATCCATGTCTGTGCAGGATTCATATTCAGAATGGACAAGTTTATGGAATCTGGAAGTTGGAATTGACCTCAGAGTCCAACCAACTAGTCAAAAATGTACCTGAACAAGACATAAATATCACCCCAAATTTGTGGTCATCTAACATTTGATTAAAGACCTCAAGTGAGAGTGAAACGTCAAGGTCCCAAGGCAGTCAATCTTACTTTCATGTAGCTACAATTGTTAGGAAGCTTTAACTTACGTTAAACCTAAATTTTCTTATTTTCATCTTCTGCCCATTTTTATATAATTCACATATAGTCCTTTCTTGAAAGATCATATGATCTTTGACTTAGGAATGAAATGGACCTCAGAGTTGATACAGTATAAACCCTTCATTTTACAGATGAGGAAATCAAGTCCAGAAAACATAAGTGTCTTAACCAAGGTCACATGTGGCAAAGCCAAGATTCAAACTGAAGTTCTTTGACAGGAAATAGAAAGTTTTTCCAATTATAATATTCTACATCTTGGGGATAAGAAGGTCAAGATTAATCTCTCTTTCACATCACAGCCCTTCGAATATTTATAATCAGTTGTCATATCCCTCCAAGACTTCCCTTTTCAGTTCCACTTTTTTCAGCTGATCTTCATATGATATTATATATCAATTAGAAAATACACATAGGCAAAGGTATACCATATCAAAAATACTGGATTACAGTGTGGCAGAATAATACTATGCATCAAAGTTATATTATCCTGAAGAGGAAATCTAGAAACATAAGAAACATTTGTGAAAGAATCAATGGCAGGAAAAATGAAGCAACACTGTAATGGGGCATATTTCAGACAAGTTGATTGGGGAGAAAATGATGAACTAAATAATTGGACATGTCCAATTAGATTGTAAGCTCCTTGAGGGTAGGGACTGTATTTTGCCTCTTTTTGTATCTCCAGTGCTTATCCCAGTCCCTGGCACATAGTAGATACTTAACAAATGTTTATTGATTGATTGATTAATGAACTACAGAACCAGAAGATAAGCTTGATGATAAGGCATGACATTTACTTTGTCAACCACTCGACTATGATGCCCTTGTGGACAATGTGAAGAGAAGTGAGATAGATGATAGTACCATAAGGTAGATTAATAATTGACTGGTTGACTCCAAAAAGTGACTATTAATGACTGGAAACAATCTAGGGGAAGATCTTTAGTGGAACAACAGAGCACTCTTTTCTTTACCCTTTTCTGTTCAACATTTTTATCAATAAATTTGATGAAGACATAGTTGGCTAAATTATTAAATTTATTGATGCAAGGGAAATGGGAAGAATAAAAAATACATTAGATGACAGAATCAGGATTTTTTTTTCTAAAGAGAGATTTCCATAGGCTAGAATAAGAGGCCAAATCTAATAAGATGAAGCCAAATAGAACAAATTTAATTTAATTCTTCCTCCACATGACAACCATTTAAATATTTACAGACAACATTCATGTGCTCTCCTAAATATTTTCTTTTTTTAGGCTAAACATTCCTGGTTCCTTCAACAACTTTTTGGGTACTGTATTATTTTGAGTACATTTGCCACTCTGTCTTCTGGAAGCCTTTCAGGTAATTTATTTCTTAATTAAATCTGATGCTCATAATCAAATAAAATATACCAGATAGGGAGAAATGAGCAGAACTGTCACATTCTTTGCTCTGAACACTCTGCTTATATTATTACAGTTAAAATTGCTTTCTTTTTTCTTCTTTTTCCTTTTCCTTTTCTCTTTTTTAGATTTTGATATCACATTGTCATCTTATATTGAATTTTTAGACCAATAATATCATTTTTTAAACAAAAATTCTTGTGCAAGTACATTTTCAATCAATCAACAAGTATTCATTAAGTACCTATTATGTGCCAGGCACTGTGCTAGGCACTAGGGATAGAGGCAGGTGTAATGAATGAAACAATCTCTTCTATCCTGTCCTTGTAAAGTTGATTCTTTAAATCATGTCTAGGAATTTCCATTTATCCCTTTTAAATGTCACCTTATTAAAATTGGCCCATCATTCTAGTCTGTTGACATCTTTTTGATCCCGATTCTGTTATCCAATGTGTTTGTTTCAAAGGACAGAGCTAGGCGCAATAGATAGAAGTTACTGAGAAGCAGATTTCCCCTCAATATGAAGGAGAAAAACAGCTTTCTAACAATTAGACTTTTCTCAAAAAAATAATGGGGGCAGCTAGGTGCTATAGTGGGTAGAGTGTCGGGCGTGGAGTCAGGAAGACTCATCTTCCTGAGTTCAAATCTGGCCTCAGACACTTAGTAGCTGTGTAACCCTGGGCAAGTCACTTAATCCTATTTGCCTCAGTTTCCTCAATCTGTAAAATGAGTTGGAGAAGCAAATGGCAAACCATTCCAATAGCTTTCTCAAGAAAACCCCAAATGGAGTCACAAAGAGTAGGAGGTGACTGAAGTGACTGAAAAATAAAAAGTGTAACAGGGTGCCTAATGAGACAGCAAATCCCCTTTCACTATAGATCTTCAGCTGGCGGCTGGGTGATTACTTATTCTAGATGTTATAAAGGGATTTTTTTCCCAAGGTATGGGTTGAATTACAGTGCCACTGAGGTCCTCATGTAGCTCTGAGATTCTGTGAAAACTGCAATTTTGTATCAGTTTCAATTATAGCATTGAAGAACATGGAAATAATCATAGCTTGTTAACTTACTTATGAAATCAGATTTGGAGGAGCTGATTTTAAATCAGTTTTATGTTCAAAACTGACACTACTTTGTATTGTGGCTTTAGGATTCAGTTCTAGTGCCAAAACCTGCCTTTACATTATTAAAAATTACACTCTTTTAATTGCTGTATGTAATATTTAGCAGAGTCAGAATTACAACAACACAATTATAAAGGGGAAAATGCAATAGCTTTAGAAATAACGAATAGACACCTAGACCTCTGGCTTCTTTATATATGGTCATAAGGATGAATTAGTGATGATTAACCTCCCTTTCTAAGAAATCTAGAAGTTAAGAATTTTTATACTCATCAATAACTTGATTTCTCCCCAACCCAACAAGTTCTTTCCCTCAATAATTTATAATTGAAGTCTTCTTATGTGTAGGCCTATTCTTGAAAATCTATGGAACATACCTGTTTTATTTTTATTTTTTGAAAGTGGTGGTTAGTATTGTCTATGAACAAGAGAGCTGGCTTTGACAGCAAAATTTGGATACCATATTTCTATTAAGAGAATATTAATTATTAAAGGCCATGACACTAATGTTGTACTTGTCCACTAACTACCTCGGGCTTAGTCAAAGCACTTGGACCTATAACTTTTACACTTGATTAGAAAAGGAGCAGCATGTAAGTTACTATTCCACAGTTGTCATTTCAGATTTTTATGAAACTTAGCAATCCTTTTGTTTGACTTCTCTGGGGAAATTTTCATACCTTTTATAATCACCAGAAGCAACTGTAGGAATATTTAAATAACCTATATGGAATAATGCAAGTTCCTGGGTGCTTTGTGCCACACAAAACCCAGCCCCCTATGGGAAATGGGAGCTTCACTGTCCAATTCTTGGCTGAAATCACTTGAGCTGTTACTGTGATGTTTTGGCCTAAACTAAGGAAGTGATCGATGCACTGACTTTGATAAGAATGTGTATAGTATAGATGGAACATGAAGGAAGAGACTAAAAAATAGAAATATGTGTGTTTGTACTTATGTTAATATATGTGTATGTGTGTATACATATAATTATGATAATTACAATACTCACTAAGCATAGGTATCGTGCCTTTTCTGACTTTGTATTATATAGCACATAGCATTGAGGTCTGCCATGGGAAAGTAGATAAGAGAAAATTTGAGCAATCATTTTTTTTAAGTTAAGTACAACTGATGTAACTTTCCTAATCTTCATCTTTCTTCATGATAGTCATAAAACTAAACATATACTTTAATCTAGCTCATGAGTCTGAATAATGCAAATTAGCTGAAAGAATTGAAATATGTCATTCCCAAACTGCTGTCAGCGATCTTTGAAAGACTGCCAAGAATGAGAAAGGCTTTGCAGGATTGAAAAAAGGCAAATGTACCTATTTTTTGGGGGAAAGGGAATGTGGGTGAATTCTGCAAACTATGGATGTTATTAAATGAAAGATCTGGAAACATTTGCAAAGGGAATAGCATTCGAAAAGGTCAAAAAATCTTGATCGAGAATAGGTTATGTCAAACTAATCTCATAGGGTTACTGGTAAATCAGAAGAATGATGAAGGGAGAGTATATGTAGATTTCGGCAGTGATTTGCTAGCTTTGTGTGTGAGGTGAAGCCTATATACATAGGCTAGCTGACAGTCAATTTGCTGGATTAGGAACTGGTTGAATAGCTTGTAAGGATCATCCATGGGTTACTGTCCATCTTAAGGGAGACTTCTAGTGTAGTACCTCAGGGATCTGTCATTGGGCCTGTGTTGTTCAACATTTTTATCAGTGACTTAAATAATGTCAAAGAAGGTATGCCTGCCAAATTTGAGATTGAAGGAATCTGGGAATGAAAGCTAACATGTGGGATGA